AGGACTTTAAATTTAAACTAACGAGTGGGACGCTTAGGCCGTTTTTATTTTCATGTTTTGTGGGAATGCGCGGCCTCCGAGGGAGATTGCAGAAGCAGCACAGTTGCTCTTGAGTTCTGGCCCTCGTCATCATCTTCGATTCGGATTTTGCAGCATGAGCAACACCTCTGTTATCCGCATCAGGAAATTGCGTTTTACTTGTATTCCAAAGCGCAATTACAGGACTTGGCAAAAAGCCAAGAGAGCTGCGCGCGACACGCGCCGCGCGGACGGCTGTTAGTATAAACGGGATCGGAGTCTGCGCCGCAAGTTGCATTTTAGGCGGAATCTTCATTCCTGCGCATGCTAGGACGGGGAAACTGCTACGCTTCGATAGCTGGTGGGGGGGGGCTGATAGTCACGCACACCCAAACTATGTGTGATCGTCCCTTGTGTCTTTACGCTGAAGAAAGGATTTGAGAAGCCCTGGTTTTGCCGTGTACGACCTGCTCCGTTTGCACTGAGACCAAAGGTGGAAGCGAAATTTCAAGAACTAGTAGAGAGTGGAACACTTACAAGGACCGAACATGCAGAGTGGGCTAACCGCTAGAGTGGTCCCAATACGAGGAGGAAAATACGATTGTGTGGAGATCACAAAGTGACAGTAAGCCCACAGCTAGATATAATCAATATCCTTCACCCAGACCGGACGATATACGATTCTGTGGAGATTACGAAGTTACAGTAAGCTCACAGCTATTAGGTTGTTCGAAAAGTCCTGCGACACTTTGATTGAATTGTTCTAGAAAAAGACCAAAAATCATTTTGGATGTTTTTATCCCTGATTAGTGGAGACTGTCCTCTGGGGTTTCTGCACATGGGTATATCATGACTTTGAGGAAGTTTTCAAAGCTTAAAGACACATGGTACGCTCAAACACATTGAGGGTGTATGAGACTAACAGCCCCCCAGCTGTCGATGTGTCGTGGTTTCCCCGCCCGAAACTGCACGGGGTCCTAGTACGGGACCGTGGGAAAGGCTTATTCCTTGCTACACCGCCCAAAATTCACCGCGCGCAAGTTGCATTTTGGGCGGCGTAGCAAGGAATAAGCCTTTCCCATACTCGGACCCTCGTACAGTTTCAGGCGGGAAACCACGAACAATCAAGGTGGGGGGCTGTTAGTCTCATTGACACCATCATGTTGTTTGAGCGTACCATGTGTCTTTAAAAGTCCCCCAGAGATCGAGGTACTTTTCGACCTGTCCCATATTATGAGTTCCTGTAGGGCCACTTCGCCGTAGTCAAGGAAGCTGACACCTACGTTGTCTTGAGGAAGGATATCGCTTGCCATGGCAGAGGGTAGCTTTTGCATCAGCGCTTCTAGGCTGGACTTATTTAACTCGTAGTTGGGCATGTATAGGTCGCCCATTCAGCACAGAATGACGGCCCTTTCACTCAAGCTTCCTGAGGCGCAGCCGACAACGTAACACCGGCGTAGTGTTTGCGACCTCTAGGCTTCAGGTCTGACTGAGACACTGCCATGCTTCTCCGCAATCTCGGTTATCGGAAAAAATTTTTTTGTGAAGGATGCCTCATGAGTTGGACCCGTCTGACAAGTCATACCGAATGACCGTGACTGAGTTTTCTTTTCCTTGTACACAGCCGTATAGAATTTTGTGAGCTCTTGTGGGTGGTAGCGGGTGGTGGAGTCCTTGCGTACATCATGCATCTCTCGAGCAGAAAAGTAGATTGCTTAGCCAAAGAGAAGATGTGCATGGGATAAAGATTTCAGTTTGGTTCAGTTATCGGTGGGAGTTCCAAGCGATATCACTGGATACCAGCACCGTTGTAAGGACCACAGTCCACCTTAATCGACTTCAAAATATGGATGACGTCACGCTTGAATTCATTCAGAAATACTCAATTTTTCTCTACTACTCGGCAATGCGAGGACCGCATGTGGGGATCAGGCTACGCCAAAAGATCATGCATTTCGATCAGAGAATGCGACCGTACTCAGGTTATTTAACAAAGTTAGCAGCCTCTAATTACCACCTCCTTTGGTCACTATCGCATCCTTCAAAGCAAAAGTTCCGAAAATCAACCTCAACTCGAGAATGAGGTCCACCTCTTCTTTTTACCACAGTTGCCGTAGTTCTATGAGAATGGAAATGAGAAGCTGTGCAAAAGAAAGGCACTAGTCCTAGTCATCAACTGCGGTTACCTTGTAGATTGGAGATGTCCTTTACTGACCAGAAATTTAGTTCGAAAAATTTGGTCAAAGTGTCGCAGGACTTTTCGAACAACCTAATAGATATAATCAATATCCTTTATCCAAACCGAACGATACGTTCCATATGTTGAACGGAGGGAAAGTTCTCCAAAATGGGCTTATCGGACGCCTATATGCAGCCAAAACTGGGTGAATTTATGAAAAACACACGATCAACACGCACAAAGGAATGGTCGTGTATAATAGGGTGCATTTTGGCATCACGTCCATCCCGCGATATTCCAGAGCATAATATAAATAACGCTGGCGGGAACAGAATGAGTAATCATTTACCTGCTTCATTTTACGGTGACAGTTCCAGACGACTTCCCCCATTTGGAGCGAATGCAGGAAGTGGTAAAAACATTGAGATGTGCGGGATTCAGGCTGAAGCAAGGGAAAGGTGAATTGAACTAGGGCACATTGTGATTCGAGAGGGATTATACCGTCACCAAAGAAGGTGCAGGCTATGGTGAATATGCTAGAACCGAAAAAAATTTAAAAGAAGTCGAGTCCTCCATAAGAATGGTGCTATTATGGTAAATTCATTTCGAATTTCATTTCTGTCTACTTTAGCGGCACCACTGAATTAAAGGCACAATCCGCGACCGCAGATTGCGGGTATCAGAGTTTACATACGAAAAAAGTGCTAGGTAACTGATTAGTGGGGAAAAGCAGCAGAAAAATCAGTCCGGAATGCCCTTAATAGGATTCCATGCCGATCTCAACTTGTACGTGCATGCAGTGAAGAAGACCGTGTTTGTACGAATTACCCACTCGTCGTTATCATGACGATGTAAGCTCTTCTATCTCATCACATCACTCTCACTATTCAAAATGGAGAGAGATAGCATAGTGGCTACTAGCACGGCAGCCCAGCAACGATAAGCTGACTCCGCCCATGAGGGCGGAGTCAACAAGTTCCACTTCGATCATTTTTTCATTACCAAGATTCGTTAGCGGTGATAATTGCTAATCTTATCGAATATGCCTTGGAGAATGAGTCGCAGCAAGTGGCGATTAGATTCAGAGAACTCGCCCAAAGTTTGATTAACTCGTCCATTTTCAATCCCGTACATGAGGTCTTTTTAGGGAATTTTCAAGAGGTTCTTTTGGTTTTTCTTTTGGTTCAACAGATGCCTCGGAGTATGGGTTAGGTGCTGTAGTATATCACAAGATGTGGGTTGGTAGGGAAAAAGTAATAGCGTATGCATCACGAACGTCAACAAAGGAAGAGAGAAATTCCCAGATAGAAAAAGAGGCGTTCAGGTATAGTTTATGGTGTGGAGAAATTCGATCAATTCTTGTGCGGTCGTAGATTCACATTGTTAACTGACCATCAGATCTTGGTGAAAATATTTGGGCCTAAGAATGGTATACCGACGGTAGCAGCGAAACGCCTACATCGGTGGAGTCTTTGCCTCATGATATATTCTTTTGATGTAGAGTACAGAAAAACATCCGGATCTGGAAATGCAGACGGGTTATCCAGATTACCAGACCGGAGCGAGCTGAGTTCAAAAGTTGTGATAGATGAAGTGACAGAAAAACAAATATGACTGATGGGAGGAGATCATATTAAATGAGCATCAGTGGCTAAGGGAACCAGGAGGACGAGAAGTTGCGCAAGGCGTACACATACGTGATGGAGGGTTGGTCGCAGAGGATCAAAGCGAAGGAGTTAAAACTGTGTGAAAGGTGTAAAACAGTAATGTGTGTAAGGGCCGTCTAACGCAAAGCAGCCGTATAGTTATTCCGAACGAATTCCGGAAACTAGAGTCAAGGCTTTCGCATTGTAGTCACTATGGGAGGAATAGAATGATAGCGCTAGCTAGAGAGAAAGCGGTACACAGGTACAGACGAGGACATACGGAAAATGGTGCAGTCCTGTGAAATATGTGCAACATTCGGGAACGAGTTGACAAGTTCATTGTTGAATCCACGGGAAACGCCAGCCAAGTGTGGCAGAGGCTCCATATGGATTTTGGGGAGGCCATGGATGGTAAAATGTGGTTAATAATAGTCGATGCAGTATTGAAATGGCCTGAAGTGTCGTTCATGCGCACAACGACCGTCGAGAAAACGATAGATATATTTAGTAAACATGGCCTCCCGGAGCAAGTAGTAGTGGATAGTGGGCTACCGTTTATAGCTAAGGAGTTCAAGGAGTATTGTTTTAGGTTGTCCGGAAAGTTCTGCACGTTTTGTGTTACTATTTTTTGAACATTCATTGCTGATTAAAAACTCACTCTCCCTTGCGTCTCAGTAGTACATCCTGAAGAGAATTCTTTGCGCTATCTGATGGTATAACTGCCGTTTCACCATTGCTTGATGAACCCCCTTTTTTCAAGATTTTTTCAAGCATGTGAAAAGAGCACTTCGGACGATTTTTTTCTTCGACTATAAATTGGGGCAATCCGCAATCGAAACAGTGCTAGAGAAAGCACTGTGCGGCAATGGCTCAACAAATTTCGTTCTGGAGATTTCAGCCTTGAAGATGAACCTCATAGCGGTCGACCTAAAGCAATATCTGACGAGGATTTAAGGGGATTTTGGAGGCTGACCCATCCCAAACAGTTCGAGAGATTGCAGAAAAGCTAGGCGTTGGCAAATCCAGTGTTGCAGATGGTCTGAAACGCATTGGGAAGGTGAAAAAACTCGACAAGTGGGTGCCCCACAATTTGAGTGACCGGCAGAAATTGGCACGTCTCGCGGTTTCCTCTTCACTGCTTTTGCGCAACAGAAACGACCGTTTTCGATTTTCAAAGCCGAACCCTCACGAAAAAAAGATTCTGGTCACGGTTTGGTGGTCATCGGCTGGTGTGATCCACTATAACTTTTTATCACCAGGCCAAACCATCACAGCAGAACCCTACTGTGAAGGAATCGACGAAATGTACCGAAAATTTTGTCAGCTGCAGCCAACACTTATCAAAAGAAAGGGTCCGATTCTTTTGCATGACAACGCCCGCCCACACGTTTCACAAATCACTATCCATAAATTGAACGAATTGGGGGTTGAAGTTCTACCTCAACCACCATATTCTTCAACGACTATCACCTTTTCAAACATTTTCAGAACTTCCTTGCTGGAAAATACTTCATCAATCAGGACCAGGCAAAAAAGGCCTACATGGACTTCGTGGATTCTCTACCACCCAGTTTTTTCTTTATGGGATTTATCGAATGGTTTCACATTGGCAAAAGTGTGCTGATTCGAATGGTGCTTATTTGGATTAAATCCGATGAGTGTTAAGAAAGTTATGATCGTTAAAGTGAAACACTCGAAACGTGCAACTTTCCGGACAACCTAATAAAAGTAGAAATGTAGAACTGACTTTTATTCCTCCGTACCATCATAACTCAAATGGCGAAGCGGAAAATTTGTACAGACCTCGAAAAGAGCGTATTGTAATGGAAGAAAGGCAGCCGAGGCGGTAGGTGCAATAGTAGTTCGTTCTTGAATAGCATCCCGCGACAAGGAGCCACCTGCGGAAATGATTACCTTCTTTTGAAGACCCTAAGTAACCCGGTGTTCAAGGCACAGATGCGACGGATGAAGGAGCAGTACAATAAAAAAAGTCCTTCCTTCTTCTTCTTCTTCTTCTTCTTCTTCTTCTTCTTCTTCTTCTTCTTCTTCTTCTTCTTCTTCTTCTTCTTCTTCTTCTTCTTCTTCTTCTTCTTCTTCTTCTTCTTCTTCTTCCTAGCGTTAGTCCCGCGCCGTCGCAGGGTCCGCTGTTTCTGTTAGACGCCGCCACTTGTTCCGATCCACTGCATCTTCTGCCGTGGTTTCACTTCAGTGAGGCCCTTCTTGATGACGTCCCTCTATCTCTTTGGGGCTCCTCGTGGTCGCTTGCCTCCTGCTTCGAACTCCAAGCCTTCTGTAATTGGGGTGGTCTCGGCCTTCTCAGCAGTGCCCTACCTCGCAGTCGCTGCTCTCGTGCCTTCAGCTGGATCGGAGTGGTCTGAGTGATCGCCCTGACGTCCTCGTTCTGACTCTGTCTAGTCCTGTCCAGCCGCAGGCCCATCTCAGCATCCATCATTTCAGCTGAGTGGAGCTGCCTTTCATGGTTCTTGCAGATGGGCTAGCACTCACTGCCGTAGCGCATTGTAGGCCTTACCAACGCCCAGTACACTTTACCCTTGAGCGTTATCGAGCACCGCCGGTCGCATAGGATGCCAGTGGACTTCCTCCATTTCATTCAGGCTACGTTGATCGGGCCTTCAACCGCCTAGTCCACGCCGCCATCAGCTGCTTTAGGGTGTCCCCAGTACTTCAAGTCTCGACCCTTTCATGCTGCTACCATGGCAGTCTACGATGGGTTGGTTACATTCTTCGGAGCTCATGAGCTCGGCCTTCTTCACCTTCAGCCGGAGTCCATTCTCAGCAAGCGCATCCTACCACCGCTGCACCTTGTCCTGGAGTTCTTTCCTGCTGTCCGCTATGGGCGATGTCGTCAGCGTAGAGGATGGTTTTCAGTGGTCCCTCCATGAGTTCTTTTGCCATGACATCTAGAGTCAGGAGGAAGAGGAACGGGCTGAGGGCTGACCCTTGGTGTACCCCAACCGTAATGTTTACCTCCTTTGTCAAGCCGTGAGGGGTGCGTACAGCTGCTTTAGCCCCATCGTACATCCTTCACTATGGAGATGAGGTGCTCCGGAACGTTACGTTCTCTAAGCGCTCTCCAGAGTACAGGCCGAGGCAGGCGGTCGAATGCCTTCTCAAGGTCCAGGAAGGCTAGGTAGCAGGGTCGCCGCTTCTCTCGGTACTTCTCCATCAGCTGTCTGGCGATGAAGATGGCATCTGGTGGACCTCTCGGGCATGAAGCCGAACTGTTCCTGCGAGATAGGGACAAGTTCCCTCAGCCTAGTGTTGACCAGGCGCTCGTACAGCTTCATGGTATGGGGAGTCAACTTGATGCCGCGGTAGTTGGAGCACTCCGTCGCGTCCCCTTCTTTGAAGATGGGGACGATTGTGCTGCTCCTCCACGCATCTGGCATCCTTCCTTCAGCCGTTACGTTGTTTAGGAAGTCTGTTGAGCCAACTCACCCCATGCTCTCCCAGGGCCTTCCATGCCTCTATCGGTACCCCGTCTGGACCCACTGCTTTCCCAACTTTCATTCTCCCTAGCTCCCGGCGGACTTCATCCTTCGTCCAGGGAGTGATGGGACCTGCCGTCGCCTCTGTGGGCTGTCCTTGCGGGGAATTCTTCGTTCAGAAGTCCCTCGAAGTATTCTTCCCACCTCTTTCTGACTTCGGCTGGTTTCCTGAGAATGGCCCCGTTGCTGCTCTTCACAGTCTTTACGACCCTGATGTCCTGAGCAGCGCGATGCCGAGCTTTAGCCAGGCGGAAGACGAACTTGTCCCCTTCTCGGCCTTCCAGCTTGTCGTACAGGGCGTCCATTTCCGTATTCTTGGCCTTAGCAACGGCTGCCTTAGCGAGTCGCTTGCAGCTCTTGTAGGCAGCGTAGTCTTCTGGGCTCCGTGTCTTTTGCCAGCGTTTGTATGCTTCCTTCTTCTGCTTGACGATCCTCTGGACTTCCTCGTTCCAGAACCAGGCTGCCTTGTCTCCTCGACGTCTCTCCCAGGACTTCCTTTGCACACTGTAGGATGACCTCTGACTGCGTGGGTCCAGGTGTCCTGGACTGGCCCATGTGGGTCTGGGAGCCCAGCCTCCAGTATTCTTCGGCCGAGGCTATCCTTTTCTACCTTGCGCATTTTCCACCACCGAATTCTCCGCTCTGCTCTCACCCTTGTCTTCTTGGGGAGGTCTATGGCGATGTCTGCCAGGAGAGGCCTGTGCTGAGGGCCCAGCTCTTCCCCAGGCAGTACCTTGATATCCTTGACGGTTTTGAGAGACGATCTTCTGACCAGGACATGGTCGATTTCCGTTTGTCTCCCTCCACTGCTGTAGGTTATCTTCTGAGTCCTTTTCGCGAAGAAGGTGCTACAGATTGCTAAGTCGTGGGCTGTGGCTAGGTCAAGGATCCGTTCTCCCTCAGCGTTCTTTGTCCCTATTCCTTGGCCTCCGTGCACCCTTTCTAGACCCCTGTCACTTCCCACATGGCCATTCAGATCCCCAGCTATGGTGAGGTAGTCATCTTCCGGAACCGATCTTATGGCCTCGTCCAGGGTCAGGTAGAACTCATCCTTTTCCGCCTCGGAGCAACCGGATTGTGGTGCGTACACGGTCAGTACTGTCCAGTACCCCTCCTTCGTGTCCATTCTCACTCCCATGATCCGATCACTGATCCTGTTCACAGAGGAGACGCAGTCCTTGAGGGATTCTGCCACCGCTATGGCACGCCATTCCGTTTGGTGTCTGCTCCATTGTAGAAGAGTTTGACACCTTCTCCAATCTCGCGGGCCTTCGCACCCTTCCATCGCGTTTCCTGAAGGCATAGGACTTGGATATTCCTGCGTCTCATGAGGTCGGCAACCTCACGAGACTTCCCGGTAAGCGACCCCACGTTCAGGGTCCCAATTCGAACTAGCTTCTTTGGCCGAGGTCGTTCACCCCTCGGTAGCCCTCGCATACTGACCACAGAACTCGGGCGAGGGTTCTGCGCGCCACTTCCGGGGTTCCTCCATCAGCCGGCCTGTCAACCCTGACGCTGGTATCGTCCCCATTTTTGCAATTTTTGCAAGGCAGGTTTGTGCCTCGGCAGGGATCGAACTCGTGGCTCAGGGTGTGAACATGAGTCTACACTCTTAACCACTCGGCTATCCCTGCCTATAATAAAAAAAACTAACAGAGAGAAAATTTGAGGTGGGACAAGTGTGTCTGCGGAACCATGGAAATAGCTGGAGAAGTGGGTACCAGAAATAATTTTGGAGGTGGTCGGGTCGAACACGTATAGAGTGCATCATGGTATCGGAAGTCGCTGGACACATGCTGACCAGCTGGAGAAGCGAGTGTCGTTTTGGGAGGAGGAGAATCCTCAAAAGGTAGGGAGTCAACGGTCGGCAAGGAAGAGCAACAAGAAGAACACTCGGAAGAAGGACGAACTGGAGCGAAGTAGGCAGTACTCAGGAGGTCGAGCCGCAAACGAAGACAACGGAGAAAATGAAGGAGTATCTCGCCATGAAGAGGGCGCGAGTGAAGAAGCCGGTGAATGGGAGAAGAGATATATATTGCTGCAGTGATAAAGAGATAGGCCTAAAAGAGTCGACGGTTGATGAACAGACTCATTTTGTGTTGGAAGTGCAGCGCAAGCTCTACAATGAGGGCAGCTGGACATGGATTCAAGTTATTCAGGAGAACTCTTAGTCCCACTTCAACGACAGCAGCCATGGTGCCGGTGGGCAACACAGTGGGGGGGGGTGGTGTCTGAGCGCGCTGGTGGTCTGTAACTCGGACCCACGCCCACCGGAGCACCTTAATGACAATTTGGAGCACTCTCCTTCAGCGGCAGGTTCTCCTCCTGCTATAATAGTGATGCAACCAGTAATTTACTTGGCTCCAGGCCGAGTGTCGGGTGTAGTAGACAAGATAATCCCGAGCCGCGTGTCCTCCGGAGCGGCTTACCCCACGGTCGTGCCTGTCGAGGCCGGGCTCGAAGATGGCTGCGACGAGGCCCCTCTCTCACGGTACGAGTCGTCGCCCAGCAGTGAGACGCGCCCAGGAGGGTGTCGTCGGGATGTGAGATGGCAGAGGAGCGACAAGAAGTCAGGATTAGCATCGAAGCACATGAAGATGCCGAACCCCGCAGCCCGTGTATGGAGGAATAAAGAGTTGTGAAAGTCTTTGGTGTTCGGGGCAATTGAGAGGTAGGTTGGACGGTGGAGTGACCGGACGGTCACTAGGGGGAATGTTAGGGTGGTTCGCCGATTCAGGACGATGACCACCCAGGAATGGAGTGGACGACCACGAAGGAAGAAGAACGAAGATGGTAATTGATAGATGTGCTGTGATACAAGGCTATACAAAAGTGGTAGTTTACAATAGCATTCATTCCACCTAGTCTACTCGCTTCGTCAAATAGCGTAGCGTGCGCTAGTCTTAGGTGTGCGGACCAATATCAAAAATTCGTGAATTGCTTTCAGTAGTGCTCAAACATCAGCAATAAAGGGGTCAAGGTCAAGAAGGGGTTAGCGGACAAAACATAGTAATCATTCTCAGAATGAGCGAGCCGACCTAGAGATGGGCGGCGCTTTCAAAATGCAACTCTGTTCTGAAGAATTCGGAGATCGGGGAAAAAGTTATTGGAGATGCTTAACCTTCTGAGTTTCAGTGCGTAAGCCTGTAGATGTATTTAATGCCAGTCGGGTCGCCGGTTGACGCAGGTGTTTCTCCTCCTGCAACACGGGATGGCATGGCCAGGCGTCCACGGCTTCGAAGCGCGCTATCCTTCGTACGTTTGAACACTCAACTGATACCCGGCCTCTCTTATCTGTTCACTTGATCAGCGCTCCTTGCCACCACTCCACAGACCATATGACGCTATTGGTTGAGAAGCGTTGACCATGTATCCAGTAGAATGTTCACGCACGTGAATGGAGATAAGACGGCGAAGCGGGGCCGTATCACGCAAGGAGGCCTTACCCCACGTTTTCGCGTTCTCTGCACCGCATTGGGACCGAATCCTGAATTTTTGACTTTGTTTTATGCCCCCCCCCCCCCCACAAATCCTATCCGCAGCCTCATCGTGGCGTGGGGGTGAACGGTTTTGGACTGTTCCAAAAACGTACCAATGCGGAGGGTGCCACGTCAGAGCCTGGCGAGCTACGCGCGTGGTTAATTTTCTTCTCGCCGAAAACAGTAACAACTATGGGCCTCATTCCCCTGAAGCTGAGGGAACCACCGACAGGGCGACGTCGGCTGGGACCGCTCGGACGAGGCTGCTAAAATCACAGGGCCAACGGAGATTTGAGTCGCCCAGGACTAGGATGACGATCTGTACTTTCAACGCACGGACGCTTGCATCGGAAGCTCACATCGAAGATCTGATGTTGCAAGCCAGGAAGATCAAGTACGACGTCATCGGACTGACCGAGACGAGGAGGCATCGCCCGCTACACGCCGTGTACGAGACTGGAGAAGAACTGTTCCTCGGAACATGCGACAGCAGAGGCGTTGGCGGTGTGGGCGTCCTCGTCAACACGCACTTGGCCATGAACATCGATTCGTACGAAAGTCTGACGACCCGAATCGGACGTTTGCGATTGAGAAGATGTGGTTCAACTCCAGCTTTGACAATCTTCGTCGCCTACGCACCAACATCAAGCTACGACGAGGATGAGCTCGAAGCGTTCTATATGGAATTGGAGAAGTTCTACAAGGAAGATCATACCTTCTTCAAGGTCATCGTCGGTGATTTCAACGCTAAGATCGGACCAAGAAGAACGGCTGAAGAACTTCACATCGGAACTCACGGAACGGAGTGGAATGAGCAGGGTGAAAGGCTGTCTGAGTTTATCATGTCGACCCATACCATCCATGGTAACTCGCAGTTCCAGAAGCCCTACTCTCTACGCTGGACATGGGAGTCTCCTGGTGGACAATTCCATAACGAGATCGACCACATCATCTGCAATCGAAGGTTTTGCCTGACCGATGTCGCTGTTGTCCCTAAGTTCTACACGGGATCCGACCATCGTCTCCTTCGCGCAAGATTCCGCTTTTCGATGCGAGGAGAGAGAGCCGCAAAGTTCAAGAAGCGAAGCCCCAAGACCACCATCAACTGGGATCACTTCACTTCTCTCGCTGGGCTCTGGGAGGATTCTGTCATCGACAACATCGACGAGGAATACGAACGGCTTGTTGCACATCTTCACGACTGCGCCAAGAAGTCAGAGGGTTCCAAGATTACCAAGAAGCGTCTATCTCTGGAAACTCTCGAGCTGATTCGCCAACGTGGAGCCGCACGAGCCGCAGGCAATTACCAGCTGACGTCTGAGCTTGCGAAGCTATGCAGAGAAGCGATAAAGGAAGACCTCAAGGAGAGAAGAGCAGCAGTACTGGTGGAAGCCGCAGAGGCTGGGAAGAGCATACGCAACGCCCGCCGCGACTTCGCAACTTCCCAAAGACTAGTGACCGCCCTCCGACGTCCGGATGGAACAATCACCGCATCCAGAAGGGCAATGGAGAAGGTCATCCACGACTTCTACTCGGATCTCTTTGACAGCCACGTCCACCTGCAACCATACCGCTTGGAGCAGGATGGATATGTCGTTCCTGCAGTTCTCTCTTCCGAAGTCCGACACGCCATCTCGTCGGTGAAGAATCGTACGGCACCCGGTCCCGACAGGATCAGACCCGAACATCTGAAGAATCTTCCGCCAGTTCTCGTCAAAACTCTGGCTCGACTCTTCACGCGCTACCTGTCGGAATGCAAGGTACCCACCTCGTGGAAAACCAGCAAGACTGTGTTGCTGTACAAGAAGGGAGACCTGTACGACATTGGCAATTATCGCCCAATCTGCCTGCTGTCTGTAGTCTACAAACTCTTCACACGAGTCATCCTGAACAGGATTGGCAGAACACTAGACGAAGGAAGCGAGCAAGCAGGGTTTCGAAGAGGATTCAGCACGATCGATCACATCCACACGGTAACGAAGCTCATCGAAGTATCGCGAGAGTACAAGATGCCTATGTCTCACGTTCATCGACTTGAAGAAAGCCTTCGACTCCGTTGAGACAGAAGCGGTTATCGAAGCCCTGGGCAACCAGGGTATTCCTACTCAGTACATCAGGATTCTTCGTGAGCTCTACAGCAACTTCACGACCAAGATTTCACCATTCTACAAGGAGATCATCATTGATGTGAAGAGAGGGGTCCGACAGGGCGACACCATCTCGCCCAAGCTCTTCAGCCTCTCTCGAGAACGTCAACTGGAATGGGAAGACATGGGAGTGAAGATCGACGGTCGGCAACTACACCATCTCCGCTTTGCTGACGACATCGTTTTGATAACACCAAACATCGAGCAAGCGGAACGAATGCTGGCTGAATTCGACTGCGCGTGTGGAAGAATCGGTCTACGGCTGAACCTAACGAAGACGATGTTCATGAGAAACGGATTGGTATCTGATGCCCCATTCACGCTCAACGGAACGACCATCTCTGAATGCTCTAGCTATGTGTACCTAGGTCGTGAAATCAATATGATGAATGACCTAGCTCCAGAGCTGAGCAGGAGGAAGCGAGCGGCTTGGGGAGCCTTCAAGAACATCGAGGGAGTAGCGAAGAAGACGAAGAACACCAAGCTCCGTGCCCACCTCTTCGATTCCGCGGTCCTTCCTGCCTTGACGTACGCCTCAGAGACTTGGACTCTACGAAAGCAGGATGAGCATGCGGTCGGTGTTATTCAACGCGCCATCGAAAGGGCGATGCTCGGAGTTTCCCGCTACACGCAAGTGAGAGAGGGAATCCGGAGCTCCGCACTCCGCCAACGATCGAAGATCAGAGACGCCGCCGCATTTGCCAAGGTTTCGAAGATCAGGTGGGCCGGACACGTCATGCGTTTCGAGGACGACCGCTGGACCAGAGCTGTCACCGACTGGATTCCACGGGATGTCAAGCGAACGCCTGGAAGACCGCCTACGCGATGGTCAGACTTCTTCGTGAAAGCTCTGAACGAATGGTATGAAGTTCATCGTGTCCCTCGAGCTGAGAGAGTTCATTGGGCAACTCTTGCACGTTGCAGGGACGAATGGAGACGTTACTGGCGCCCGCTCGAGGAACTCGATGATCAACGGGAGCACAGGTGATACAGGTGATGCCCCCCCCCCGCTGCTCCTCCCAACGATGAGGGTACGCCATCGTTGTGGAAGTTGCAACGGGAGACGGTCGCATTTGGCCGCGAGATTATAAGCGCAGGAGCGCAGGGCTCATTCAGCAGTGCTGAGATGTCGTACAGTCACTGCTTGGTAAAAGATTCACTGATAGTTCTTGCTGTGAAGAACACTTGGAGAGACACGCAAAGAGTTGCATTTCGCAAGCTCGAAGTGGGGAAAGGGAAGTGACAAGTAGCGCGGTAGCCGCCCATGAAGGCGTCATGATCAATAAAGAAACGAAACACATTATACTCTCGAGCTTTCTGAACTGTAGGAGCACATCATTTTTCAAGGAAAAGCCTTATTTGGAGGTTACACCCTCC